AAATACAAACATGGCCAGGTGCGGTGGCTCACGCCTGTAATCCTAGCACTTTGGGAGGCCGAAGTGGGTGGATCACCTGAGGTCAGGAGTTCAAGACCAGCCTGGCCATCATGGTGAAACGCCAACTTAAAAAAAATTAAAAAATAAAAATACAAACATTAGCTGGGCGTGGTCGTGGGTGCCTGTAACCCCAGCTACTCGGGAGGCTGAGGCAAGAGAATGGTTTGAACCTGGGAGGGAGAGGTTGCAGTGAGCCAAGATTGTGCCACTGTACTCCAGCCTGGGTGATAGAGACTCCATCTCAAAAACAAACAAAAAAACAAAAGATAAGGATTATAATATCTGCCCCACCAGACTGAGAATTAAGTAACTTTGTATTCAGTAGTAAGTAGTCAAAAAACATTAGATATGATGATGTTGAATAGACTATACATCAGGCACCATGAGAAAGTAAAAAGAAAATCAAATAATCTTAATACTCTACTATGGGCTGGGAGTGGTGGCTCAAGCTTGTAATCCCAGCACTTTGGGAGGCCGAGGCAGGTGGATCACGAGGTCGAGAGATCGAGACCATCCTGGTCAACATGGTGAAACCCCGTCTCTACTAAAAATACAAAAAATTAGCTGGGCATGGTGGCGCGTGCCTGTAATCCCAGCTACTCAGGAGGCTGAGGCAGGAGAATTGCCTGAATCCAGGAGGCGGAGGTTGCGGTGAGCCGAGATTGCACTCCAGCCTGGGTAACAAGAGAGAAACTCCGTCTCAAAAAAAAAAAAAAAAAAAAAAAAAAAAAAAAAAAAAAAAAAACTCTACTATGGCAAAAGAACTTAGTAGGTTGGAAGTAAACATAAGGATATGCTCAGGTATAAAATATAGGCAGCTGGCTCCTGTGTAGTGGGCTGGAGAGAATGAATCATAAACAAAACTATTAAGAAAGCTGTAATAATCTAGGCAAATTCTATGTTTTGCAGTACAGGCTGAACTGGAGTGTTGTTCTACACAGGTTGAAATGCCGTGTAGAATGGAGCCTTTCTGTGCCTAGAACCATGAGCTTTGGAAAATTTCCTAAGCCATAGCTTAGGAGATAACACTTTAATCATCTTTCACCTTCACCTTAACCATTTAGGTGATTCTAAGAAATCATTTGACTCTTGTAGGTACCATTTTACAGATAAAACTGAGGCTCAAGAGAGCAAGGCCATCATTGCATTATTAATGGGGGGGCACTATTCACATTGTAGTGTATGAAAATGGCACCTTCTGGAACACAACAAAAATAAGTGATGGCTCCTGAAGTTGTGCCCTGCAGCAGCCCTGTCAGAAAGGTTACAACATAATGGTATACAGCAGAATTGATCTCTATCTAAAAACTGGTGCTTTTCCCACTATACCATACCATCTCTTACCACGGTATCTTATTTATGGGTATGTAGCATACCTAGGGTTAAACACTGAATTAAAACAAGAAACCAACACATCCCAGATATGGTTTTTTTTAAGAACTTCATAGGCATATTGGAGTGAATTTAATGGAATCCTGTAAGCACCAGCTACTTAACAAATTAAGGTGCTTGATATATATTCTTTATTTATTTTTTTTTGAGATGGAATTTTGCTCATTACCCAGGCTGGAGTGCAATGGCACGATCTCAGCTCACCGCAACCTCTGCCTCCTGGATTCAAGCAATTCTCCTGCATCAGCCTCCTAGTATCTGGGATCACAGGCATGTGCCACCATGCCCAGCTAATTTTTTGTATTTTTAGTAGAGATGGGGTTTCACCATGTTGAACAGGATGGTCTCGATCTCTCGACCTCGTGATCCACCCGCCTCGGCCTCCCAAAGTGCTGGGATTACAGGTTTGAGCCACTACGCCTGGCCCTTGATATATTCTTAAACCATTACTTAATAGGGAAAATAAGGGTAAAACTGATAGAAGAGCCCAGCCATTTACTTTAGACTTGCCCAAAACAGATCAGAAGCTTTACAAAAAAACCTCGAAAGACTAACAAAAATTAAGATCATACATCAATTTTTCTGTAGACATTTTTTTTTTTTTTTTTAAAAAGACGGAGTTTCATCATGTTGGTCAGGCTGGTCACGAACTCCCAACCTCAGGTGATCCGCCTGCCTTGGCCTCCAAAGTGCTTGGATTACAGGTGTGAGCCACCATGCCTGGCCCAAGAAAAAATTTTAATTAAAAAAAAAAAAAATAGGCTGGGCGCGGTGGCTCAAGCCTGTAATCCCAGCACTTTGGGAGGCCAAGGCGGGTGGATCACCAGGTCAAGAGATCGAGACCATCCTGGTCAACACGGTGAAACCCCGTCTCCACTAAAAATACAAAAAATTAGCTGGGCATGGTGGTGCGTGCCTGTAATCCCAGCTACTCAGGAGGCTGAGGCAGGAGAATCGCCTGAACCCAGGAGGCGGAGGTTGCGGTGAGCTGAGATCGCGCCATTGCACTCCAGCCTGGGTAACAAGAGCGAAACTCCGTCTCAAAAAATAAATAAATAAATAAATAAATAAATCTTTTTTCTTTTAAAGATGGAGTTTCACCATGTTGGTCAGGCTGGTCTTGAACTCCCGACCTCAGGTGATCCACCCGCCTCAGCCTCTCAGAGTGTTGGGATTACAGGCGTGAGCCACCCACCGCTCCCGGCCGACATTTCTTGAATCATCCCAAAACTTTGTCAATTTCCCCCACAAAATGCTTTTATCATTGCTATCTTGGCAAAAAATACCTAACCTTAGTAAGAAGCACATATTTAACAACTAGTTCTTTAAATATATGTATGTGTAACTATTTAATTCATATTTATGCCAAGAACACTACAATTAACAAAAGTTTCACCCAAACTCTCTTACCCTGTCTACCCAAACTCTCTTACCCTGTCTACCCACACTGGAGGGAGGAACATGTCTTTGTGGAGAGGATTTCTTTGAGACTCTATGCCTTTGTTCAGGAAAGAAGAAGACACAAAAATACAGAACAAAAAAAGAGTATTGGCTCATTATATACAAAAGAGGCCAGCCACTAAGAATTGTTATCAGTAAGATAAAAGGGAATACTGGCCAGAGATCCTTTAGATAAGTAGCTAAAATGTGGTCAAAAGCAGAAAAGGAAGAAGCAAATACACAAACATTTTATGGGTATTAATAGACATCTCTGAACAAATAAAATCCCTTCCTTCAAAAATTTCAAATGAGATTCACAGAACTGCAGAAGCAACTTCTGACTTAGAAATGTCTCATTTGGGCTAGGTGCTGTGGCTCATGCCTGTAATCCTAGCACTGTGGGAGGCTGAGGTGGGTGCATCACCTGAAGTCAGGAGTTCGAGACCAGCCTGGCCAACGTGGTGAAGCCCCGCTCCTACTAAAAATACAAAAATTAGCTGGGTGTGGTGGCGGGCGCCTGTAGTCCCAGCTACTCTGGAGGCTGAGACAGGAGAACTGCTTGAACCTGGGAGGCAGAGGTTGCAGTGAGCTGAGACTGCAACATTGTACTCCAGTCTGGACAACAAGAGTGAAACTCTGTCTCAAAAACAAACAAAACATCTCATTTGACTGATGATAAATTTCATAGTAGTTAGATAACCTGTCCAGGGTTGCATAATTAATGCCAGAATCTTGATTCAGATACAAGTCTTCTAGCTTCCAAGTGTGTGTTTTCTTTCATGTGCTATACCACCCATTATTTATCTGTCCCTAACCGCTTGAAGCAGTCTCCCTAACTCTCTCTGCCTCTACAATGTGCCCCCTTTGGGACAATTAGAGAAATAATTCTGGACTATGTAGACCATGTAGAGCTACTGATCTAACAATGGATGAGACATTATTTCAAACAATTACTGCACTAATATTCATTTACAGGTGGAGAGTAGAGGAATAATATAAAAGGAAATTCTGTACACCAGAGAAGCACAAGAGGAAATATTCTCCTCTTTTTTATCTGTCATTTTATTACTGTTATTTTATTCTGTTAAGTCCATATATTATATAAAACATAACAGGAAAAATGAACAAATGTATAAAATAAATTGAGGTGTTTGGATGAAAAAAATACAAGAGCTTTGCCTTCATGTCTATAGATCTCTTAATATATTGTTGGTCTTGCATGTTAGATATCAAATAAAGATATCTAGCTTGACACAAAAATTGGTAGCTGCAAGGTGAAGCTGTATTAGTGTGATGATGGGCCAGGAAATGATGTATTTTCTAAATTTTATCCTTAAATATTGGCTGTAACAAATGCTGATATAGCTAAATGCAAGCTTTTATTAGACAGCAAAGGGAAACTTGAGTGAATGAATGCAACTTACCCCCAAGTCCTCTTAAAGGAGGTAAAAAAAAAAATAAATACTGTGTTTTACCAGTGCTCCCCCCAAAGCATTATTCTAAGCATGCAGAAGGGTACAGTAAGCAGCTACAATAATAAGATCCAACCCAGAGGTAGGTTCAAGGCCAACAGTAGGAGAGTGGCTGAGGAAATCCTCCTCGGGCCAGTACCATTTCACAGAATGGCCATTTGTGCTGGGGGATGTCTATGGCCTATTTTCTTCTCATTCAAAAGGACATTCCCAATTTCGACCTTGCTGAAAAAGAGGCATTGTTGTACCTGTTACTAAGAACAGCCAGGATATAGGATAAGGCTGGGATAAAATTATTTAGCAAGCACATGCTAGCTACTCTAGTTTGAAATCTACCAAACTGTAGGCTGGGTGTGGTGGCTCACACCTGTAATCCCAGCACTTTGGGAGGCCGAGGCAGGTGGATTACCTGAGGTCAGGAGTTCAAGAACAGCCTGACCAACACAGAGAAAACCCATCTCTACTAAAAATACAAAAATTAGCCGGGTGTGGTGGCACATGCCTGTAATCCCAGCTACTCAGGAGGCTGAGGCAGGAGAATTGCTTGAACCCAAGAGGTGAAGGTTGCAGTGAGCCAAGATTGTGCCATTGCACTTGAGCCTGGGCAACGGGATAAAAAGGAAAAGAAAAGAAATCTACCAAACTGTAAAATCAGGGAGAAATAAAGAGTTAAAGATGAAGCTGTTGTTCCTCAAGATGAGGGAACAAAATTTTACAAAAGGAGTGATTAGGCATTCGCTTAACTCTATATGGAGAACATCCTTCTCAAGCTAGGTGGAAGATGAGTAAGAATACTACCAAATACTGAACAGGCCATTTGGAGACCAAAAGGAGACGGAAAAAAAGGCATTCAGGAAGCAAGCTAGTAAAAGAAGTTATTCTAGGCCTGACTAGGTAAGTGAATCTAAGGCAACCATACCAAAGATATGTTACCCATTACTCTAGCATGAAGCCAGTGGCAAAATACCTCAAGACATTTTAAACCCAGAGAAGTGTATGAAAAATATGATAGCTAACCAAGCAAATTAAAATCAAACCAGTAATGGTAAAAATCTCTTCAGATCTCAAATCCAGGATACTCATTTTCCATTAATTCTGTGTCTTATGGGAGAAAAAGAAAAGTAACAAATGTAAAGATTTTTTTTATTTCTGCTGGGGAGGGAGTAGGATAAATAGAACTGTTTTCCAATTTGCTCTCCACTGTATACACACATACCCACACACATACATAAACATACATACACCAAAAATACCCCAAACAAAGAAACAAAAAAACCAGGAATGAAAAACCAAAACACCCTCAAACTGCACCAATACTTCATATTTTGACCAAAAAAAATATCCTGGGAGGAAGTGCAAAATGCAAAATCAAATGACCAAAAAATGCTGAACAAACAGCATTATTAATATACAAAATATTTATATTACTGAACTAGTAACTAGTAACAGGTGATGTTCTCCACGTCTGTAAAACTTTGGAACCACATAGCTGATTTGTTAAATCTAGTCCATGCCAGCTTCCAAAAACCAAAATTTTAGTTAGCTTCATTCTTTGATGCCTCATCAAAATTTTCTACAAGATCTGAAAAAGAAAAAAAAAACCAACATATGAATCAAAGAATACAAAAAAGGAAAAAGGTAAATGGAACTCCTAACTCCAATAAAAGCAAAATTAGTACAACTAGAATCAGCCTGAAAACATAAGGAGGCAGAAATGAATTGGTGGCAATTTACTAATAATGATCTAATTATCTGCTTATAACAGTAATCCTAAGGAAATGTTCATCTTTTTTTTGTCTATGCAAACTGCTGAGGTGAATAGCATTTTCATATGTCAATTATACTTCACACAGAAATGTTATAACAATAGCTATGCAAATTTATAATCACAGTGATTTCAATTTAATAAATCCAGGCAGCAGAGTTTTGTGTGACAATTTCTGATTTTAAGTTCTAAGGTGGGGGCTTTCATTCTTTTTCATTAGATCCTATTCATTTTATTATGAATCAATTTAAATTCATGAGCTTACAGTCAACACAAACCTAAAAGTCATCTATGTAGTGACTAAAAGGAGATAAACAGGATGCTTAAAATCTTAAGTCTAAAGAAATGCCACTTACCTGGAACATCATCATCCTCCTCATCAATGTCTTCTGGTTTCGGTGCTTTACTGTCTAAGACTACAAAAAGTTTATTTTAATATTAGTCATTGAGAATAAAGACCTTAAAGAACACTTACAATGTTTATCCCTTTTTTCCTGTATAAATCACATATAGTTGCTCAGAAAAAGCTAAATATTGTCCATCTAAAATGCCATTCATATTTTTTTGCTTGGTTAACACTAGAAATCAAACTTTAATTTAGATATACACTGATACAGCTGGCAATTTTAATGTGTGGCGAACATAAAATTTATTTTATTTATTTATTTAAGTTTTTGAGACAGGGTCTCACTCTGTTGCCCAGGCTGGAGTGTAGTGGTGCGATCTTGGCTCATTCTAGCCTCCGCTCCCCGGTTCAAGCAATTCTCCTGCCTCAGCCTCCCAAGTAGCTGAGATTACAGGTGTGCACCACCACACCCAGCTAATTTTTGTATTTTTAGTAGAGATGGGGTTTTGTATTTTTAGTAGAGATGTTGGCCAGGCTGTTTTCAAACTCCTGACCTCAAGTGATCCACCTGCCTTAGCCTCCCAAAGTGCTGGGATTCCAAACATGAGCCACCAAAGATAAAATTTATATGCAAAGTGGAATAATTGATGACTGAGTAAAAAGACTTTACAGTGTCCCTATTCTCCAAATAAAAAAGAATTGATATTAAGATTCTTTTTCAGCCGGCATGGTAGAATCATACCTGTAATCCACTGCACTCCAGCATGGGTGACAGAGTCTCAAAAAAAAAATTAAAAAGTAAGAAAAAAAAGATTTTTTGCATTTCTTTTGGAGTAAGAAAACATCTAGCTAGGTAGTATGGGCACTGCAATACTAGACTCTTTAATTTTTAGGGGCAACACGACACATCTGAAACCAGGATTATCTTGGAAATTCAGAACTTATGGTAGGGCAATCAATAATATTTAACAAAAACATACATGTGTGACATTATTTTCTTTCTTCTTCTTCTTTTTTTTATTTTAAGAGACAGGGGTCTCCCTCTGTCACCCATTTTGAAGTGCAGTGGCATTCTATAGCTCACTGCAGCCTTGAAATCCTGGGCTCAAGTGATCCTCCTGCCTCAGCTTCCTGAGTGGTTAATACTACAGGAGTGTGCCACCACACCTGGCTAATTTTTGTATTTTTAGTACAGAGTCTCACCATGTTGTCCAGGCTGGTCTTGAGCTCCTGGCCTCAAGCAATCCTCCATTTTCAGCATCACAAGAGTGCTGAGATTGCAGGAGTGACCCACTGCGACCAGCCACACAACAGTATTTTCTGATTGTCATTAATTAGCAGTGAGTATCAAAGTAACTATTTAAAATTATGGGCCAGGCATGGTGGCTCATGCCTGAAATCCTAGCACTTTGGGAGGCCAGCATAGGTGGATCACGTGAGGCCAGGAGTTCAAGACCAGCCTGGCCAACGTGGCAAAACCCTGTCTCTACTAAAAATACAAAAATTAACTGGGTGCAGTGGTGCACACCTGTAGTCCCTGCTACTTGGGAGGCTGAGGCACAAAAATTGCTTGAACCCAGGAGGCGGAGGTTGCAGTGAGCTGAGATCGCACCAATGCACTTCAGCCTATAAGATAGAGTCAGGGCTGGGTGTGGTGGCTCAAGTCTGTAATCCCAGCACTTTGGGAGGCCGAGGCGGGTGGATCACGAGGTCAAGAGATCAAGACCATCCTGGTCAACATGGTGAAACCCCGTCTCTACTAAAAATACAAAAAATTAGCTGGGCATGGTGGCGCGTGCCTGTAATCCCAGCTACTCAGGCGGCTGAGGCAGGAGAACTGCCTGAACCCAGGAGGCGGAGGTTGTGGTGAGCCGAGATCGTGCCATTGCACTCCAGCCTGGGTAACAAGAGTGAAACTCTGTCTCAAAAAAAAAAAAAAAAAAAGATAGAGTCAGACTCTGTCTCAAAAATAAATAAAATAAAATAAAATTATGGCCTACAGATCCTGGCACTATCCTTTTGAGCAATTACCTCTCAACTTACTGTATTACTACCAAAATGTTTCTGAATATTCTATGTGTCATACTACATAATCATTGAAGAAACAAACTCAAAATTTTACGAAGCATAGAAATAGAACTTTATAGAAAGTAAATAATTACATACAGGCAAATCCAATTTAAGATGGGACACCTTTTAAATGATTAGGTTCTTGAAGTAAGGTGGGGAGAGAAAAGATTTACTAAATTGAAATACCTACCTTGCCGTGGAAACTGTTCAGCTAACTTCCTAAGGCTTGTTAAGCTGTCAGCACCAAGCTGACTTAATATTCCAGGAAGCATTTCTGTGATCGGTTTGGCTTCTGCATGACCAGTAATTGCAAAGGTGTTAGCAGAAAGAGAAGCTTGGACTTTGGGATTGTTGAAATGAATAACTGTCCCATCATCTTTAATCATGTTCACCTGTATGATCACAGAAGAAAAATGTACTTCACATGATAGGTACTACTAAAACAATATATTTTTAAAAAGCAATTCAGCCAATTACAGTTTTTTACTTGGTAATTATATAACCTCAAGGTAGTAACTGGCAAAGCAGTGGACATTCATGGAAAAAGATCATAGTAATAAAGTTAAATGATGGTACACATTACTAGGATGGTCAAGAAATATTCATTTCATTATAGAATCTAGATTTTAAATTCAGACTTCCAAGAGAAAGCAACACATGCCCACATTTTTAAAAAAAATGGAAGTATCAGCCACAAACCAGCTTATTAATGAAATTACTCAATCTTACTCGATTTATACTGTCAAACAAAATCAGTATAATTTCCACTTGGTAAGGTAGCGTCTTACTTATGGGACTGGTTATTAAGGGGAAATAGTACATGGTATAAATAACCACTGAAAATCCATAAAGAACACTCAGAAATTTAACCAGGTGTTTCATTCTTTCAAGCACTTAGTAAATTTATAAAAACTTCAACGTGTTCTCATCATGTCATTCTTTGTAGGATATTTTATTAGTTCCTCTAATTCTTTTTTTTTTTTTTTTTTTTTTTTTTGAGACAGAGTTTCGCTCTTGTTACCCAGGCTTGAGTGCAATGGCACGATCTCGGCTCACCGCAACCTCCGCCTCCTGGGTTTAGGCAATTCTCCTGTCTCAGCCTCCTGAGTAGCTGGGATTATAGGCACGCACTACCATGCCCAGCTAATTTTTTGTATTTTTAGTAGAGACGGGGTTTCACCATGTTGACCAGGATGGTCTCGATCTCTTGACCTCGTGATCCACCCTCCTTGGCCTCCCAAAGTGCTGGGATTACAGGCTTGAGCCACCGCGCCCGGCCAAGTTCCTCTAATTCTTAAGGGTAACTCCTTAACGATCTTTAATAACCCCTGTAGGCCAGGTGTGGTGGCTCAGCCCTGTAATCCCAGCACTTTGCGAGGCTGAGGCAGGTGGATCATGAGGTCAGGAGTTCAAGACCAGACTGGCCAACACAGTAAAACCCTGTCTCTATAAAATAAAAAATAGGACTGGGTGCGGTGGCTCAAGCCTGTAATCCCAGCACTTTGGGAGGCCGAGGCGGGTGGATCATGAGGTCAAGAGATCGAGACCATCCTGGTCAACATGGTGAAACCCTGTCTCTACTAAAAATACAAAAAAATTAGCCGGGCATGGTGGTGCGTGCCTGTAATCCCAGCTACTCAGGAGGCTGAGGCAGGAGAATTGCCTGAACCCAGGAGGCGGAGGTTGCGGTGAGCCGAGATCGCGCCATTGCACTCCGGCCTGGGTAACAAGAGCGAAACTCCGTCTCAAAAAAAAATAAAAAATAAAATAAATAAATAAAAAATAACGCCTGTAAAGGTCAAAAAAACTCTCCCACCCACTTGCCTAGTGACCTGAATATGTTTTATCAACAACTAGGAAACCTTTAAAAATCATCCTCACATTCTTTCTATAACTTTCACCAATATGAACTGTTTCAGATTTGATTTCATCCACTGTCCAGGACTTATTGAAATGGAAAGTTTAACATGTACTATTTAGATTATCTGTTTCTCTCACTCATGTACTTTTTTTTTTTTTTTTTTTGTAGAGTTGAATTTGCATAAGTTAAATGTGTAAATAATGTGATTCCATTATGTAGTTGATTCCCTGGGTAAGTTACCTTGGGGGTAACATGCTTACTATATAAAAAGGTTTGGAAGAGTTAACTCTTGGCTACTTTGGAAGCATTTCATGATCCATCCAAAATCTGCCCTGTCACAATCAAGCAGAGATGCTGAGTGTTCTCCATGGTCAGTGGGAAGTGGGCTTTTCTTCCTCAGAGGTGATCACCACTACTGACAGCACCAGAAAGGAAGGGGAAGAAAGGGGCTTCTAAATTTCAGGCAAGACCTGGAACACAGAGAAAATAAAGGCAAATCCCTGGAAAACTGTAACTAAGCCCCACAAATAATTTCCCCGTGTTTTTCTGACAAAAGCACTATTTAAATTCTATACCCTTCCCTCTCTCACTATTATAGTTAGGGTTCTATTAATTATATCACATACAAAAAGCATTCAACCAGCTGTTCTAAACATATGGCACTGTGAGTTAACTTACATTAACTTTAGAAAAGATAAATTATATAGTTTTGAAGATAACTATAGTTCTGGTAGAAAAGTTAAATGTTAAAAGTGGGTGAAACCTGAGCTTGAGAAGGATGACAGTGGATGTGAAATTGCTCTGGATTTAGCCTAGAATCACATAATTTTAGAATGGGAAAATAATAAATATAAGATATGGTAGGATTGTATTTTCCAAATCAGGACCAAATCGCATGGTTTAAAAAAGGATTTCATACTGGGTGCAGTGGCTTACACTTGTAATCCTAGCACTTTGGGAGGCCAAGGCAGGGGCAGATCATGAGTTTGAAATTGGCCTTGCCAACAGGGTGAAACCCCCTCACTACTAAAAATACAAAAATTACCCAGGCCTGGTGGCGAGTCCCTGTAATCCCAGCTACTTGGAGGCTGAAGCAGGAGTGGTTTGAATCCAGGTGTTGGAGGTTACAGTGACCCATGATCGTGCCACTGCACTTCAGCCTGGCAACAGAGCGAGACTCTCTCTTAAAAAAACAACCAACCAACAACAAAAAAAATGGTTGAGCATGCTGGCTCATGCCTGTAATCCCAATACTTTGAGGGGCGGATCACCTAAGGTTGGGAGCTTGAGACCAGCCTGGCCAGGATGATGAAATCCTGTCTCTAGTAAAAAATGAAAAAAATTAGCCAGGTGTGGTGGCAGGTGCCTGTCATCCCAGCTATTCAGGAGGCTGAGGCAGGAGAATTGCTTGAAGTCAGGAGGCGGAGGTTGCAGTGAGCCGAGATTGTACCATTGCACTCTAGCCTGGGCAAAAGAGTGAGACTCTGTCTCAAAAAAAAAAGAGGGATTTCTAAAATACCTCCAAGGTGCAGAGTCATAAATATTGGAATGTGAGATACTTTTTATTTACAGACATTAAAGTCACAAGAAATTTGAAATCAGTATTATTCAAAAAATTCAGGATAAAAATTTGTTGAACTTAGAATGTTTTCCAGTTCAAATCCTTTATGTTAAAGAAATAAACACTGAAGACAAAACTCTTGGTTAGCAACAGATGCTTCTTTCTCTGTGAAAACTTAAGGTGATTTATGCACTTACTGCTATTATATAGAATTGTCCTGTATAATTGCATTTGTAAATCTTTTACCTTACTAGAAGGTGAATTTCTTGAGATCAGAAACCATGCCTTATTAGACATTGTATTTTCCCCAATATCTAGCACACAATAATCACTAAAATCTGATGAATGAATGGATACCTCCTATATAATCCATTCTAAAATCATGGCTGGGCATGGTGGCTCATGTAATCCCAGCATTTAGGGAAACTGAGGCAGGAGGATCGCTTGAGCCCAGGAGTTCAAGATGCCTGGACAACACAGTGAGAACCCCATCACTACCCACCCCGCCACGCCAAAAATATTGCAAGTCAGGTGTGGTGGTACACGCCTGTAGTCTTAGCTACTCAGGAGGCTAAGGTGGGAGGATCTCTTGAGCCTGGGAGGTAGAGACTGTGATCACACATCACTGCATTCCAACCTGGGTGACAGAGTGAGACCCTGTCTCAAAAAAGGATAAAAAAGATGTTGTCAGACTGCAGCTCCCCAAATGCTAGATGATGGGTCACATTAACGATTAAATGTGGCATAGGCAGTGTCTCCAATGAAGATGCCCAGAACCTCCTGGGCTGTACTTTTAGCCTGACTTTTCCCATAGTTTTGACCTTTCAGAATTAGTCCAACCTACCCTCCAGATTTAGGGGCATTTTAAGTCACTTTTGGCAACTGCGGGGTAGCACTTTTGTGCTACTATCAAACACCCTAACAACCTTTGCTGGCCTCTGCATAGGGTATGTATGTTAGTTATAGCAGTCTCCTACCTGGTAAATTTGATGCTCACTTTGTTCCTACACAGCAGTAAATTTTTGTGGCTAGAGGTGGCTCACAACGTTATATGTGACTCCACAGCTCTTGCTAATAACTCCCCTCTCAGTTCATGGAGGCTTGAATTCTTCTTTGTGATTTTTTTTGTATCCAACTGAGAATGGTAAGTGAGAATTAGCAGTTGTCTCTTTTTCTCTTTTTGAGACGGAGTATCGCTCTGTCACCCAGGTTGGAGTGCAGTGGTACAATCTCAGCTCACTGCAACCTCTGCTTCCCAGGTTCAAGTGATTCTGCTCATCCTCCAATTACAGGCATGTGACATCATGCTCAGCTAATTTTTCTATTTTTAGTAGAGATGTGGTTTTGCCATGTTGGCCAGACTGATCTCAAACTCCTGACCTCAGATGATCCTCCTGCCTTGGCCTCCCATAGTGTTGGGATTACAGGCGGGAGCCACCGCACCTGGTCAGCAGTTGTCTTAAAATGAAGTTTTACTGCTATTCCTTCCTATATGTAATGGCACTTAAATATTTACCAGGAAATTCATCTTTTACTGACTTCTTCCTATATCTTTAAGACAGGGTCTCATTCTGTCTCCCAGGCTAGAGTGTAGCGACTTAATAATAGCTCACTGCAGGGCTGGGCGTGGTGGCTCACATGTGTAATCCCAGCACTTTGGGAGGCTGAGGCAGGTGGATCACTTGAAGTCAGGAGTTCGAGACAAGCATGGCCAACATGGTGAAACCCTGTCTGTACTAAAAATATGAAATTAGCCGTGTGTGGTAGCACATGCCTGTAATTCCAGCTACTCAGGAGGCTGAGGCAGGAGAATTGCTTGAATCTGGGAGGCAGAGGTTGCAGTGAGCAGAGATTGTGCCATTATACTCCAGCCTGGACAGTAAGAGCGAAACTCTGTCTCAAAAAATAAAATAAAATAGCCGGGCACGATGGCTCAAGCCTGTAATCCCAGCACTTTGGGAGGCCGAGGC